TTCTTTTTTGTGTATAAAAATGATCTCTTCGGAGTCCCTGTTACGGAGAGACTGTGTTCTGGGCATCATGGCATAACTGTAACATGCCATGTTGATTGACATTGCTTGACAGATGGGGCCAACCCATCTCCATAAAATTGACAAAGTAAAAGCTCCACCAAGTGCATGATTTACCGACGTACAACAATGCCCTGGCGACGAACACCCCGGCGGGCCCGGCGGTACTCCTCATCACTGTCGGTCTCGGAGCAGCTAGCCTCAGACGACTCGGTGACGTAGCCACAGCGGCTACCACCACAGTCGAGCTTGACGCGGTCGCCCTTCCGAGTGATACCGTAGCGCTCACAGCGGCAGACGCTGGCTGGGTCACTCATGGAAGAAAGCGATGATGGCGAGGTGCTGCCAGAGGAGCGAGAAGACCGAGAAGACAGGGATGAGCCAACTGAGCTGGGCGGGCTGTTGGAAAGGGAGTACTCGTCTGACAGGCGGGAACCCGCAAAGCGCATGGAGAGGTCCTCCATGGTAGGAGCGAAGTCGGTCTCCCGGATTTGGCGGGAGGCGTAGGGCTTGGAGGGCTTGGGGTGGTGGATCTTAGACGGGGACGGAGCACGGCCCTTGACGACCTCCTCAGAGGTTCTTCTGGGCTTCGCGGCAGAAGAGCTGGATTTCTTGCTTCCTCCAGGAACATCGAGGATGTTCAGCTTGCGGCCGGTGGTTGGCTCAATGGTGTACTCAACGGCGGGGTCATGGGAGACGTGGTATCCATCCATGATGTACTAGAAGAATTAGCACTTGTCAACAGTCATGAACAAAGAGGTCGAACTCACATAGTACCAGTAGCGGCCGCCGAGTTTAAGCATGGAGGTCTGGAAGCGGAACTTGCCAACCCATGAACCGGGCTTGCCCTCATCCCTGGAGAGGGGGATCTGGCGGGAGTAGTTGTCCCAAGAGCCAAGCAGATGGACAGTCTTGACATTGGACGAAGTCCGAAGAGTGAACTTGAGTTGCACAGCGGACATTTTGAATGATTGACGTAGTTAGACTAAAGATTAAATAATATTCACGGTGAATGTATAGATGATCGTGTCGAAGTCAAAGATGAGAGCACTCTTCCACAGTATTAGATGCAGGAAATATAAGACTTGAGTCGAAAGACTACCAGAGCCGATTCAATCAAGTCCGTGTTGGTATGTTGGTTAGTTGACTGCGGTATCCAACAGTAATGCTCGCGGATCCAGTCCACAACACGAAATTAGAAAATGATAGTAAAAAGCCTCGGCGATAATAATGAACAAGGCTGAGCAAGGTTGTGAGCTGCTGAATGGAGACGTCGACCAGCGACAAAGTTGAACTGTCAAAATCAAGATGGGGATAATGGGGATTGGTGTATTAGAGAGCACAGCTCGTCTGTCAGGGGGGATTTTGAGTATGATTTTTTTTGTTTTTGATATCAAAGGGATGAAGGGGGCAAGTATAGAAAGATGATTATTAAGGTATCGTAGTAAAAAGAATTGAACAAAACAACTAAACCAATGCAACCAGTGCACAGGTGTCTCCAAACAGGGAAAAATCTAAGGGCAGCTCCAAACAAGACCAGTCTTGCTGAAGAACAGAAAGAAAGGAAAGGGAAGAGAAGAAGGCGCAAGGCTTCCTGGCGGCTGCGGCATCTTTAAGGCTGTTTCTTTGGAAACCTCAGGTCCATGTTCCTTTGGCTCTCGTCACACGGCATCCACTGCTATTCTTGGAGGCGGTGGAGTCACGACGGTCAACCGCCAATTGCCAGTCCTATCGCTCACTTCCCCGCCCATGCCCGTGCCAGTCGGCGGGTAACTGGCCTGGTCCATTGGTCGACTGGCCATCCAACCACCATCCCGGACTTACCGCCTGTGAGTCCCATCACATCAACTTTCCTCGTCAATGCCGGTCGACGAACAGGATGTCGACATTGAACGCTTCGCTCCCTGCAGGATCGTGATAAGGTTTACCGGAAAATTTTTACTCAGGGAGGGGTCAATTCCATCATCCCCTCCAGCCGACTATGTATCATACTGATGTAAACAATGGTCGAAGAACCGGAATCCCAGCAGGTAAGGGCTGCATCTACAAGGATGAAAGCAACGGAAGGTTCCAAAAAAAAATATACTCTAAATTTTATTCTGATATGGTAAGCAACGAAAAGACACAAACATATGTTCGCTTCTTCAGAATCATCCCCAGCAGCAAGAAAAGGAAGTGTGTGTAGGTACCAAAACCATAATAAGCATCCCTCGAATCCACGGTACGCCGGAAAAATGCCAAATCAATCTGTTTTCTTGGTGGACAACACAGAAAGCTTGAGAGGATAAGGATTAAAAATGTAGAGAAACACCGCGTAAGACCATATCGTAACAGAAAAGAAAGCCGATTGTACAGATGCATGGATAATGGACTCCTTACGGCGGCCCCTCACCGCACGGACACGCCGGAACGGTTGGTAAACATGCGGGCAGCAATGTTCATCGAGGCCAGCTCTTGGAACAGAAGCTTGGCGGCATACGGGATATGCACCTGCGAGATCCTGTGCTTGTTGTTGCACAGTCGACACTCGAAAAGTCCCTTCTTCAGTTTACTGCAGCGAGAGGATCATCGTTAGCCCGATTACAAATCAATATAATTTATTCAGGGGGCAGGGAAATCACTTACGCAACAGGCGTCATTAATCCGCAGTCATCGCAGATGTGGACGCGGAACGGGTCAGAAACGTCAAAGAGACGTTCCTTTAGGAAGGCACTTGCTCCATGGGCGATCATACAATCACGTTCCATCTCTCCGAATCGGAGACCACCATCACGGGCACGACCTTCCACGGGCTGTCTAGTCAAGATCTGAGTCGGTCCACGAGCACGGGCATGGATCTTGTCATCGACCATGTGTCGCAGACGTTGGTAGTACGTAGGTCCCAAGAATACCTGAGCCACTAACTTCCGGCCGGTATGACCGTTGTACATTACCTCAAATCCGCGAGACTGGTAGCCGTGCTCGCGAAGTAAACGAGAAACAGAATCGACAGTAACATCGGTGAAGGGTGTTGCATCACCCTCAAAGCCACGCAGGGCTGATACCTTACTAAGCTGGCACTCAATCAAGTGAGCAATGGTCATACGCGAGGGAATGGCGTGAGGGTTGATAACTAAATCGGGCGAAACACCTTCCCGAGAGAACGGCATGTCTTCCTGACGGTAGGTAATACCAATGGTACCCTTCTGTCCGTGACGCGAAGCGAACTTGTCTCCAATCTGAGGGATCTTGGTAGTCCTCATACGGACCTTGACGAACTTCAGATCATCATTGCTGGTGGACACCAGAACCTGGTCCACAATACCGCTCTCCGTACTCCTAAGAGGCGTGGAGACGTCCAGCTTTGTATGGGCTTTCGTTCTCTGGCCGAGCTCCTCCGCGTCGGGAGCCAGAGGGGCCGTCTTACCAATGATGATATCCTCACCAGAGACACGTACGCCAGGAGCAATGATACCATCCTCATCCAGTTTATCATAAGTGCCCTTTCTCATGCCAATCGTATCCTGTCGCATTGGCTTCTCAAAGCGTTCAACAACCGTCAACCCGACCATCTTCTCACTGTCCGTGTACGTACGGTAGAAAAGACTGCGGAAAAGACCACGGTCAATACTGCTTTGGTTCATAACAACCGAATCTTCCTGATTGTAACCGGAATAGCAAGCAATAGCAACGATGGCGTTCTGACCAGCTGGCAATTCACGGAAACGCAGGAACTCCATTGACCGTGTTGTCGCCAGTGGCTTCTGAGGGTAGTAGAGAATATTCGCCATGGTCTCCATGCGCTGGTCGAAGTTTGTCAAGAACACACCCATAGCCTGCTTACCCATAGCAGACTGGTATGTATTACGGGGCGATTGATTGTGATCAGGGAAAGGAATGATACTAGCACAAACACCGAGAATCATACTAGGATGAATCTCACAATGTGTCCAAGTATGTGCCTTCTGGCTCAGTATAGAGCGGACACGTTTGTTAGGATCAAGTTCTTCTTCAGGAAGGGCATAGCCAGCCTGAAGCTGTTTGGAAATATCCAGGTCTTCCGGTGTCATGACAATCATGATCGTCTCTTCTTCTTCGGCGTCAACATACTCTACCACACCCGATCTCACTAACCCATCCCATCCAAAGTAACGTTCTCTACGATCTTCAGGGTCGAGGTCGGGTGGTAATTCTTTGTCTTGTTCCAACTTGCGGATGTGTTCCTTGTTTAAGACCAGACCGCCGCAGTTTTCGCTCTTCGGGTCATTGTCAATGACGAACAACGGCCTGCAAACACGTCCAGCATCCGTGAAAATTTTGAACTCCCGCTCACGGATATCACGAATCAAGCTGACTTCGTGAGAGATCATGTTCCGTCGCCGCAGCGACTGCATCGTATTGACAAGATGAGCGGGATCTCTATGAATACCAACCCACACTCCATTGACAAAGACCTTTGTTGCGTTAGGTGTGACTTGAGGCTCAAACTCCTCAAGAACTTCCATGTTACGCTGAATCATGAAGTCAATGATAGGTTCGCTAGGTGTACCAACAGTGACATAACACATGAGAGCCAAATTCTTGACCAGGCCACAAGCCTGACCTTCAGGGGTCTCTGCTGGACAAACCAACCCCCAATGGGTATTGTGAAGCTGGCGAGGTTTAGCAATTTTACCATCACGACCAATAGGCGTATTGGTTCGACGAAGATGTGACAAGGTAGAAGCGTAGGTATAACGACTGAGCACTTGCGACACACCAGCCTTAGCGCTTGCGGCCTTCTTCTGTTCACCCCAGTTACCAGTAGCAAGGGCGTACTTCAAACCACCGGTCAGTGTACTGGCCTTGATACCAATATTGAGGTAGATCTCTCTGTTGGTCTCAACGCATCTCTGGACATAACGCTGGAGATCACGAGTAACTCGGGTAAACAGAACACGGAAAAGGTTCGCCAGAAGTGGACCTGCAAGATCGAGACGCTTCTTTCCGAAATGATCACGATCATCAACATCCCGGCGGCCTAGAGCACACTGCAGAAGTCTGTGGACCATATAACCCAAAAAGAATGCCTTTCGAGTCTCACTACCTTCGCTCTGTGAGATATGAGGAAGCAGCTCCTTCTGCATGATTTCACGCGCGTATCTCACACGACGCTCATGGTTCATGCTTGACTGGGAAGAGCCACGCTTAGCAATGAAGTCCAAAGCAACTTCACGATCTTGAATGACGAAACCCTCTTCAATACAAGGCTTTAGCATTTCCAGCATAGGGATATCGTTACGGTCGTAGCAAATGTGGTTAAGAATGTCCTCGTCAGAGACCACACCGAGCGCTCTGAAAACGACAACGATTGGAATGTCGGTTTTCACGTAGGGCAATGTCGACCTGATAGTAGGGCCGAATCCGCCCTTTGCACTATCACCCTTAGCGAACAACTTGAGAGAGAGTTGAGATAGAAGTCGAGACCCCTTCTCGACGGCACTTCGAATTTCGGCGACATAAGGTGTTGGACTCGGAGGTGCTTTCTTGAAAACCTGGACCGTGTTACCTGCACTTCGCTCCTGGGCAATCAAAACCTTTTCGCTTCCGTTGATGATGAAATAACCACCGGAGTCGTAAGGGCATTCATTCCAGTTGTACAGAGCCTGCTCGCTCAGGTCCTTAAGAATACAATACTTGGACTTGAGCATGATAGGCACTTTTCCGATGAAAACGGTTTCCTCTTTGGCTTGATCGGCCGGCAGCTCCTTCTGCTCCCACTGGAGGTAGGTGCCACGAGCCTTTCTGTCTTCATCTTCCTCCATCTCCTCATCGTCACGATCAGCAACTGATCGCTCTCTACCTTCCATGATTCGCTTTGTAATGCCGAGATAGAGGGGACTAGCGTAGGTGAGGTTTCGGAGACGAGCTTCCTGGGGCAACATAATAGTAGTGGCACCATCACCCTCAGTAACGGAGGGACGGGAAAGCATAACTGTTCCGAACTTGAGCTCATAGCGACGGACAACAACGGGGTCGACTTCATCTTCGTCCGGTGGAAGTGTCTGGTCGAGTGTTACTTGGCCTTGTTCCTCCACCAGTTCTTGCATTGTCGAGGAGATGAATTCATCGAAAGAATCCAGCTGCTGCGAGACTAGACCCTTCGTATCGAAGAAAGACGAGATGACAGTCCAGCAATCCTCCGAGGTGATTCCCTCCTCCATATCATCGTAAAACTCATCCTCGTAAGCATCATCGTAATCAGCCATTTTGACGGAGTTCTGCCACCAATACTACCCAGATAAAGAATCAATCAGTAAGCGCAAACAGCGCGACGCGCTTGAATAAAAGTTCCCGCGCACAGGCTGTCTTGCTGCCGAAAGAAGCAGTGACACCTGGGAAGGCGTTGTCGCAAAGAGACACTGGGAAAAAGTCAGTGAGCTGGGAATCTCAGGTGGATGAAAAGTGAGAGACCCCAGACAAACTGTGATGATGGGGATGAATAGCGCAGTGCTGGGCTTCACCTCCGGACTCTGATGGATCTTGAGCAGAGCCGCCACTAGCCTCGACCGCGGTCTTGGCGCTCTCAGCTGACTAACGCGGGAGCCAAATAATATACCACGTGATATGCAGTTTACGCCTGAGGCACTAGAGGATTTTGCCTTGACTAAAAATGGAATCGAGGAATGATATTGACTATAATACATAGGCCCATAAATTTCCCAATGCTAGCAAGGTCGGTTATAAGAACTGTAGAAGAGTTTCAAGCATTTCCTTATGATCTTTCTGTCCGGGATCATCGTCCGAAAGCCCTTCAATTTGTTCTACGACGATGTCAGTACAATACCATAGAGAGGAAAGCAAAGACTAGACTTACCTTTCAATGTACCTTGAATAAGAGAAAGGCCTTCGTCGCGGTCCGCCAAGAGGGACACAATCTTCTTTTTAGCACCGTCATCTTCAGCCACAAGCCACGCCAGCATCACATCGATAAGCTTTCGAATTCATGTCAGTTTTCGGAGCAACCTTGCTAGAAAGATAGCGACGAACCTGGAGGGAGAATAGACCTGCATCAAACCGCCGAGAGAGCCATTCAACTGCCATCACCTCGCGTTCCTCTTCAGTGAAATTCTTTCGTTCTTTCTCAATATCTTGTTCAACTGGCGATACCCTCGACGCATAGTCGCGCCTCAGCTTGACTAGCTTCTCAATCTTCTCATAATCTTTTTCCATGAACTTAGCAAGAGTACGGATACGGGCTGCTGAACCCCCAGGTAGTAGACGCAGAAGCGAAGCAAATATACCCAGCAGATGTTCTATCGTTTGATTCTCTTGCTGTTCGAGGTCAGTTTCAAACCTATGATCTGAAAAAGCTAGAGGCAACCCTACCTTCTTCATGAACATTCCAAACACTGTTCTCAAGCATGCTGCTTCGACAAACCTTTCGCACGCGGGCCTGCCTCCCAGTCCACCTAGGGCATGATCCAAGACCCGCAAAGCGCGCGGTTTACTGAACTTTCCCTCCTTCAGCATGATTTGTGCAAGTTCAATACCTTCGCCCTCAAGAAACTTTTCCTTCCCAGAATCTTCATCAACAAGACAGATCAAGCAGTCAAACAGGTTCTCCACGAATTCTTCCTCGTCTGAATCCTTTGCAGGATCGCGCTTACGGTACTGGCTGAGTAGTTGAAGAAGGATATCAACGCCCTCGAGGACAATGAATTTGTTTCGCGTCTTGGATGACGACTGCAATAGAATGGCTAATATTTCAGCTGAGTATTGCTGGTTTTGGCTGACCGGTCTTTCCTTCTTCTGTATGCGAGCCAGGAGCCATGGAAGCAGATTTGAATCATCGCCTAGCCTCTCTGCATGCGATGTTTGTGACGCAAGGTTCTCCAGGACACCTTTGACGAATTAGTATCGCTTTCATGTCTCAGTCTAGGAACAGGGCCAACTCACTCAGTACATAGTAAACTCCTGCTCTGTCGACATCAGACTCTTCGTCCAACCGTGACAAGTTCTGGGCTAATAGTTCGATGAGGTCGGCGTCCAACTAGGGATGTCAGCATTATATAGCAAATATTGAACTTGGCAGCGTACCATTGCATTTACCAATGTATCCCATTGTTCTTGCTCTGCTTCAACGTCTTCGTCGGTCAACTCACTGATGATTTGAATCGCATCAATGGCAATATCTGCGTTTTCGTGCGAGAGCAAAGAGATCAGAGAGCCTACGCAGCCCAACTTTGAGAACTCCGCGTATAATTCGGGGTGCTCTGAGAGAATGGATAGTCCCTTAATTTCGCTGTCTAGATCGGCTTCGGAGGCCAGGAACCTGGACATCCAGTTAGCACCGCACGTATATCGCCCCGAATGATGAAGCGTAGATGCACCGCATACTTTTGCGGGTCGTTCTCATGTTTTCCGCGCAATTCGGCATTCTTTGATATCTTCTTCTCGAAATTGAGAGCAAATCGTCGCAGCCATGCGGTGTCGAATTTCTCGGGCTAATCCAGACTCTTAGCTTCCAAGGGCTGCAGCTCCGCAAGGTCGGGTGTACCTACCGCAACATCCCCTCCGTCCTGCTGATCAATATACTGCATCGCCTGAGCTGTTTGGTGCTCCATACCGCCTCCGAAAAAGCGCCCTTCCTCATCGTCTGGGATATCCTCGGCGTCAAAGTCCGGAGGTAAATCTGGACCGGCTTCACCATCATCTTCGTTCTCATCTTCAACCATTGGCTCCTTTCCTTTGGATTTCACATCGCCATGTGCATCTAACTTAGCTGCCTTGTAGAGTTCGTCTTTGGTGTCGAAGGTCAGTAAGCGGCAAAGGAAAATGTAGAAGGGTGGCGTGTACTTGGATCTGTGGTAGCGTCTAGTTTGCGCTTGGCGCTGGCTGCTGAAGTAGGTTTCTTTCTTCGTTAGCGCTAGTGACCCTGATATAGATTATAGATATCTTACCTTGAAAAGCTCATCTATGCTGGTCATTGTTGCGGCTTGTGTAGTAGGAGGTGCGTACTTGGAAGAAACCCACGTAGCCTACCAGCCAAATATGGCACCTAAGTAGTCTGAAAGAGATAATTCAGATTTTTCTCAAGATAGGCCTGACAACTGAAAGATATACTTTCTATATCGCGCTCAGGAATTTGTTCTGATCACTTGGTCGCGCAGCTGCTCCGATGAGATTACGGGCGGCGCGATAAGCTAACAACGCAACCGCCAAGCACCGAAAGATTTCTCGGAGCGCATCGATTTACTTTCATTTCCGCAGCCTCAATATCATTACTTCAGCTTTGCCTCTCTACGCAAACATCACATCCAGAGAAGTACTTCTCTTTCAAATACCACCCTCACTCTTCACATCTTCACAATGGCTCCCAGACAACGCGTCGTCTCTGCTCACCAGGAGAAGAGCTTTTTGGGTGCCGCCTACGATGAAGTCACTCATCCCGAAAACGCCACCATCGTGAGAAGCGTTCTTGTCTTCGGCGTAAGTTAACAATTGTGCAATATTTTCGCCTATGTTTGACTTGCGGTCGAGAGTCTGATTGTCCTTTTCACAGGCCGGTGTCGCTTTCCTTTATAGCTCTCTCAGCGAACTTCTGCTCCCTCCGTAAGTCGACACATTCCCCCCTAACGATATCGCGATAACCTCGATCCTTTTTGGTGTTCTAAAAAGCTGATGAGCGTTTTTAGTCTGTGAACGGAATATCCGAACGCATCCGTGGCTCGCAAGTATCACTCGGATATAACTTCTTTGGGAGTCAGGCGATTTATTGAGGTCGATTCGGAATAGACTCGAACCTGCTATTCTTTTTCCTTGATTTTAAGTAATGGATACCTGTACTATATTGCATGGATTGTGCTTTTGTGGGCATATATGTTTTTGGATGGACTCGTGTGGCGTGCATTATCATCTCCGATATGTCTGAAAAGAACATGAAAACCCAATACGATATGACATCCTTCCGAGTTTGACCCAAACTCTTATGGGAAAGACTTCAAATACTCCGTCCTAATATGATTGATGTGTTCGAAATAAGATTGGATCTCAACGATGAGCTTCTCCAATACAAAGACTAGCCTCATCTTGAATACAGAATAGAATATCTACAGCTGCCAGAGAGATTCTAGATTTGTAGATTCAAAGTTGAAGGTGTTTGCAAGGACTCTATTCATAGCAGGCAAATCAACAAAAATGCCGCAGCGCTATAGAACGGCATCAGAGCGAGTTGCGGAATAATCAAACCAAATTAGTACTTGATACCTGATACCTCAGGCACCGAGATGCAAGTGTGATGTGTGCATAGTCACTTGCACTGTGAAATGGTACCCGATCTTAAGATCCGATAACGGCCAGACTGATAACATAGTACGCTCTCCCATTCCCATCCTTCGAGACACGGCATGTCAATATGCTAAACCAACGCCTCAGGTTCATTGGTCTGACCATCCGCCAATGAAGCCACACGGCGTCTGGCCACTTAAAAACTTCCCAATACTCGAGATAGCGGGGAAAAGCCCACAGCTACCCCACACGGGGAACCTCCGGAACACCGCCCTCAACTGCCGGGGAGATCGCTATCAAATTTCATGTTTGTAATTGTGCGAATACAACTCCATTTGAGTCTATAGCTGATTTTTTTTTATGCTGGTTCCCCTTCCCGCACAGCTGCAGTAGCAGCTTATCTACATAATTGCTTCCATCATGATAACCACGAAGCGCACGGCGTCAGACGCAGACATACATCACGGTGAGCCTGTGGCGAAACGAAACTCGCTGGGGTACGATGCGCGTACGCCCTGGCTACAAGATTCTAAACCGCCTCCGACATGGCGGACTCTAGGAAACCGGGCAGTTCGGCCGTCTCTGCCACTCGAAAACATGGTAGCTGCTGTGCAGGACCTGATTGATCCAGATTTCGATCCCCTTATTGCCATTCTCGATGAAGAGCCACGGTTTCTGAAGCCACTTCCTTCTCACATTTCCCCGGAAGACCTAGAGTTTCTACGTTTCCGTGGAGCTCTCTCGATTCCAGAGAGCGGGCTGCGCAATGAGTTGCTGCGATGCTATATCAAATGGGTACATAGTTTTATGCCAGTGTTGAACCTGCAAGACTTCCTAAGGTGTGTTGCGGAGAACGATCCAAACGGTAACATCAGCCTTCTTCTATTTCAGGCGGTGATGTTTGTGGCAACGGCCTTCGTGGATCTTAAACACTTGCAAGATGCTGGGTATGCGACTAGGAAAATTGCGCGGAGCGCGTTCTACACGCGACTAAGAGTAAGTACAACAGAGCGTATATCTACCATCTGGAGCTAACCGAGAAGCAGCTCCTTTATTCCCTTGATTGCGAAGAAGACCGAATAGCCATCTTGCAAACTCTACTATTGATGACATACTGGACCGATCACGTAAATCATCCACAGAGAGACATATGGGACTGGATTGGAGTTTGCAATACCCAAGCTCATTCAATCGGATTAAACCGCGACCCTACTACATCCCCCACAATGGACCTCAAAACCAAACGATTAAGAATACGTCTGTGGTGGAGCCTATATTCCCGGGACCGTCTCATCTCCTTGGGCATGAGACGACCTACGCAAGTCAATGAAGGAACCAGCAACGTCCCAATGTTGAGACTAGACGATTTTGAGTACGACTCCTTTCATCCATCTGTTATCAATATGTTCCATTGCCGCCAGCTGGAAGATCCGTCCCATCAGAAGCGTCTGGCAACTATGTTCATGGAGAAAACTAAACTTTGTCAATGCATCGGTCGCGTGCTCTTCGCCCAGTACTCTCCGTCGCAGCGCCTGTTCGGTATAACTAATCGGACCACTATTACTCTAGCCCCTAGGCAGGCTTCGGAATCGGAGTTGGCTCGATGCAGTCAACGACTCGACTCGTGGGTCAACTCCCTCCCGAAGGATGCACAGTTCATTCCTGCTTCAAAAACAAGCTTTAACGATGGAGAAGATGTCTTACTTCTCCACGGTGCGATGGTGAGAATGCTGTATCATGCTACTATAAGTGCTTTATATCGACCGTGGGCGTATGGGTCCAACAAAGGTCAGAGTAAATCACGAATCGAATTGACCAATACTGCACGGTCAAAGATGCACGATGCAGCTATAGGGATTACACATATCATCCAAGGCCTGAACCAGCTGAACCTCACTCGATTTTTGCCCCAGTCCGGCGTGACAGTCATCATACCAGCTACTGTGCTACACCTGGCTAACTCAATGTCTGATAATCCTACGGTGCGAGAAGCCAGCATACGTAACTTCCACCGGTGTGTCCAGGTTTTGCAGGGATTGAAGGAGCTATATCCAGCCGCAGATATGGAAGTTGCCAACATCGAAGCCGCCGTTAGAGTCCAGTCAGACAGTGCGAGTACATTACTCAAAATCATGCAATCCAACAGTATCAATCTAAGCCAGCCACAGCCCGCCGAGCCATATCGGAGGGGGAGTGATGTTGCCACTATACAGACATTATCCCCAAGTGAAGACCAAACACCAGAGCGTTGGATCTCGTCGATGGAGACAGAAACTGCGAATAAGCCACACAACCCTAGTTCAGAGCCTCCCAAGCCCAACCCCGTCGATCAAAGGTCGAAGCGGAACAGCGTTGTAATCAGTACAGCAGCCAACAAGACTAGTGCCTCTCCGTCTCAGGCTAAGCAAGATTACCTTACCCCTACGAACGACTTTGACGATCACTTCAACTCCGCCTTCAACTCTCATTCTCCTCTTCCTGGCTCCACATTCAACCCGTCAAGCTTTCTCGATATAGACTCAAACAACACCGAATTCCCGCTCTTCCAGTCGTCAAGCCATCCGGATATTGATATCGACTGGGCAGAGGATTTCTTACGAGGAGCAGATTTCAAGATTGACTTTTCTAGCTCCGCGCTAGAGGACCACAGCAGAGATTTCTTCTCGTTCTCGGATAAACGGGAGGAAAGCTCAAATGCTCCTAGGAAGGAGATCACGGGTGATTTGGATAAAGACCTGGGGCTGAACTCTGGTGACGAGATGTTTTAGGGTGAAGCGTATGTTTTTATTGCTTCTTATACATATATCTGTCCAGCTTGCAAAGTTTTATCATCCTGTACTCATATAGTCGTGATTATTCATCAGCGATACCCTGTTTTCATTGCAGAAGCGAGCGATGCTTTTGATTCATGCAGCACAATATCCACCCAACTAAAACGAAAAATCCTTTTCTGTTTCAATATAGATTCATAGTTATAGATCAGTCCTCCGTCTATGTAGAGTATCTCTATGGAAAAAACATATTATCGCCGGTGACCGTCCTCTATTTGGCACTCCGGTCTTAACGTCTAGGCAACTAGCGCTTAGACCAACGGTTGCTCTCGTCACCTTCTTCCCATTCGTGTTCGACATAGCCGAGTTTCTTCTTCACTTCCTGGACTTTCTGCTTGTCTCCCGTGTTCTTGCCCATGTTGTCACTGAGCTTGACAGCCGGGCGACCATTTGCTGTAGAGATCTTGATGACGATATTGAGCGGCTTGGACTTTTCGTCATTTGATTTATTTGTAAAGTCGTCTGCTTATATTTAGCCCAGTGCTTTTAGAGTGTATTTGAGATTAGTACTTACTGGTAAAGAATGTACCAACACCAAAGACAGGCTGGAATCCAGCTTCCTCCGCAATGACCTTATACTCGAGACAATGCTCGATGTTGAGAGAGTCAGAGAACACCATAGTCTTTTTCTCCGTGACGCCTTCCTTGTCGTAGAAATCCCGCACCATCTTTACGAAGTATACAGGATCGCCAGAGTCCTGACGCACACCGGTATAGGCTTGAGCATAAGTTTCATTGGAGGTCTGAGCGCCACCGTCATGAAGTGGTGCAGTGATCGGGGCCTTAGTCTCCGCCTCACTTTGAACAGTCGACTCGCTGGTTGTAGCAGGTCCAGAAGCTGAGGTGCTGACTGCACCAGCTCCTGCGGAGGTAAATGGAGGAATTGGCTTCCGAAACGCATCGAGAAAAGCGGGGGTGCCGAATGTGTCCGTCAAGGCAATACCCAGAACCTTGTCAAGGTCAGTCTCTTGCAGATCTCACAGGTGATTTAACGTACCCCTTTTCCAAAGCAGCCAAGCCAGTACCGCAGGGCCGTCTCGTTAGCGTTCTCATAATCATCCGTAATGGCTGCAATGGTCATATACCATTCATGCGCCACCGTGCCGACAGGCTCGACATCATATTTCATAGCAAAGTGAACATTACTTGACCCTGTGAATTTACCCCTCCACCCTTGTCGCTTCCCCTCCTCAGCAGCCTTCATCAGCCCAGTCATCACCAGGTCGTGGGTATGGTAATCACGGCGTCGTCTCGATCCGAACTCAGAAAAGATGCAACCGTTCTCAAGCAGCGTGCATCCTTTCCGATATGCCTTCTCCTCTTGACAACTGTAATCCCAGTCCTTATCGCTGAACATAAAGTATGCCTCGCTCGTCAACGCTAATAGCGGGATCTCGTACAGAATCGTGTCAACCCAAAGACCTTTGACCAGATACTCGACGTCACCCATATCACTGTCGCTGCCGGTATCATTCACGGGCGTAAACTTGATTTCAATCTGTTCAGAAGGCTTGAGTTTGAACGTGGTCAGGAAATCCAGGTACGCATCGTTGAAGTATGGACATCGAGTCTTCAAGAATTTAATCTCTTCTTCCGTGATTCGAATGTTGGCAAGTCCTACCAGAGACTATGGTCATCCCGACGCTCGCACAGTCATTCAGTAAGGCCATACATACTGTCCATTTGCTTCAGAAGCCATTTGTGGGCCCCGCGCGTTAACTTCATATGCGGAGTACGGTTCGTGAACCCGTAAGTCACGTCTATGTAGTACAACTCGTCAGGGAATTCAAACATACCACATAAAACCCGAGAAATACTCACGGACATCGGGGAAGTACTTCAGAACGGCACATTGCATCGTCAACTTGTACAAATCGGTATCAAGAAGAGAGCTAATGCCCTCCGGAATTGGAGGGGAATCTTCTTTGCCCATTATGACTTATTTCCGAGACCTCTATAGGGGTGCTAGCTGCGGTGGTTAGAAGTACTAGGTGGATGTAATGCACAAGATTCAATTCAATGGGTTACAAGCCCCAGTCAAAGGAAAGAAATTGTGTAGCAAAGAAGTTTATCAGGAGCTGAAAACAGTCATATCACATTGCTGCGGGGAACTACCAAAAAGATGGTGTTTGTACTGTTTGCATTGTATAATATTCGTCATGCTTGCTGCGGGGGGCTTTAATTGTTGATTACTGGCCTATTGCACTGCGATTCAACCTCTTGCCAAGCAACGTATTAGTGTTACTGGGGTGGTTGTGCTGATTGCGCAGCTGAGCGAAGCGAAGTACTAGCATTATAGGAGGCTGCGCGAAAGGATCTGGGTTCTTATTGGTTGATAATTGAGTAGTCACGTGGTGTTACTTACCGCTTTCTTGCGCTGCAATGCCTTGGTAGATTTCTAGATTATTTGAATGCGCTGCAAAGCCTAGGTTTCTAGATCTTTTGAATCGGCTCCTCTGCGGCCTCTGCCTTCTTAGGTAAAGTAGGTCATTTAGGTAGACCGTAGCCAATCTATGTAGTGCAATCGATTCGGACCATCTAGATAGAGTTAGTATAATTAATTTAGATAATCTTAGTAATTTAGATAGTGTAATCAATGGTTATGTGATCCCTCCGCTGCGCAAGTATTCTGCCAGGTCCTTGAGCTGGCAGCCTCTAGTATGCTGGTTCATAGTTGGTTACTATAAGTCTATACCGGCTATAGATTATACCGAGTAACTCTCAGTTCGCAGTGGGAAACCTCAGCCAAACAGTCCATAGCAACTTGAAGAAGTAGTATCATTGAAAGATATTCATCAGACAATTACGTTGTCATAGAAAATATATCAACATCAGTTATCACCAGTTGTTGCCTTATTTGTAGGGCAATGACTGCCCCGCCAGTTTGATAAGAATATGGTGGCTAATGCCCATGACCATGTGGCTGTGCAGAGTTTGTTCTCAGGCACATCGGGTGTCTTATTGTTCCGGTCGAGACAGTTGCCCTGTAGGCGCCTTATCCATTATCAGCCAACGCTTGTTGCTTGTTCAACCTCCACGCTTGGTTCACACGTTCTGCCAGTTGCGATTACGACAGGTGCTCGGTTATGTCCCTATTTTATACAAAACAACGAGGCGTCTGCTTTTAAAACTAACTACATCAGAAACTCTGGCTAGCCCGAACCACTTCAACATCAGTGGCGCATATTAATCAAGGTCGCTTGAGAACTACATTGATATGGCGCACGGCGCTGAGGACTGTGCATCCGTGCTAGAGCAATTCGTTCATGATGTTGCGAATCTGCCAGCGGAAATCAACCACTTGATGGAAGAGATCCAGGCCAAAGACAAAACCATCCAAGAATGTCGCACTACGATCAATTCGAGAGATAATAGCTTACAAAAATTCATCAAAATGAATGGCAGTCTGACGCCGAATCCCAAAGAAGAGCAATACGGAAAGGTCATACTACAGAATCTTGACAAATCGCAACAGCTACAGGATGAGAAGATACAATTGAGTGAGAAAGCCTGCGTTTTGTTAGACCGGCAAATCAAGAAACTGGACATCAAAATTCGTGACTTGCAGAATGACGGTGTTCTTTCGAACGATCCTCCCTTGCCCTCTCTCTTCAACAACAGCGACCAATACCGAGATCCCCCAAAGATCTTTTTTCCCGACTCCGCCTCCGACTCCAACTCATACAACTCTCCCCTACATCCTACGTCCGGGAACGCCAACGTTATAATAGGCGCCACTCAGAGACTCAATCAATCTCTGGCTCGATCAGCGGGTGTGGCTGCCCTAGGCTCTCCGACTGCTGCGCGAAGCTCAGCTCCCGCAACTCCCGCCGGTGGCACAGCTCATTTTCACCAACGACAACGCGAATCATCAGCTGGCGCTGTGGAGAACAAGCGACGGCGTTTGAACCCTTCACTAGGAACGCTGCCAGCAGCATCGTCGAATCTCCGACAATCCTCTTTAGGCCCCGGCACACCCAAAGGAGGTACACCAGCCTCTAGTCGTGCTGGTAGTGCCGGGCCACGCTCATCAAGCACAACTAAAAAGGCCTTGACCAAGAAGGTTGCACCTCATCAGCAATTGAAAAAGATCAAGGCATCATCTGGACTGAATGGCAAATCAACTAAACGGTCCTCTAGCGCCAGTGGCCGTATAAAGCTTACTACAAAGAAATCGCCTTCCGCCCCCGGCGGCGATGAAGACGAGGATGATTCGATGCTCAGCAGCGCTGATGTCTCAGATTCCGAGAACAACAGCGATGCCCGGCGTGGAGATGATGACATGGAAGAAGAGGAAGAAGACGAGGGCAACGAAGATACCAAGGTCTATTGTACTTGTCGCAGCGTTAGCCATGGCGACATGGTTGCTTGCGATAACGAAAATTGCGAATTTGAGTGGTTTCACTGGAAGTGCGTCGGTTTGACCAGGGAGCCTGTAGGCACATGGTTTTGTCCTCAGTGTGCAGCCAAGTTAAATAGTTGATCATGCCCTCTAGTTTACCTTGATGATTAGCCTGTTGTATTTTTTTGAAATTGATTGTCATCTCATTCCATTGAGCAATTCAATAGCTCTTGTAGATATTCAGCCTTCCGCCGTTTCATAAGGTACAAAGATTAGGCCACGAAATGAAGCAAATCAATAGCTTCTGTTAGAACCAAACCATCCGTATCCCAATTGCACTTTTAGGCCGTAAATTCCCCGCAAGAGAAAAAGATAGGCCTCGACCATAGCCAATCCCAAGATTCGTGAAACGCCATCGCTATGCAAGCAAACATGACTGGCGCCGTTGCGCTCATTGTACATAAATAAAAAGAAAATAACAAGAGGACACAGAGTCAACGGAACCTAAAACCCGAGAGCCTTTTCCAGCCAAGGGTCAAAGTATTCGCAGCTTTCTGGGCTCACGGCTCCTCCAGGAGCGCAAAGTTTAAACACTGGGCAGGTACCGCAAGGTGCCTCTGTCATGCCGTTAGTTACCAGCCGGTCATCGATACCCTTATCCTCGCCTGCGGGCTTGCGCGCTTGCGACTGCTTAACAGCTTCCGGATTTTTGACCGACTTGTACATCTCCCCGTTGTTCAAGGCCACCAGCTTACCATCGTAGCAGAGCATATCAAGGAGTTGTGTTATACTCTCTTCACCCAGACGAACGGGAGTAATTCCACTCTCATTAACTGCACCTGTGAGCATCGATACGGTTGGATAGCCACGGTAACCAGCCGGAAAAGGAATAAATGTTTTCTGCCCAGATTCTTGTTTGACAGACACGCTACCATCGCTAGTTTTCATGCGCTTGGTTCGATGCGCGTCTGCACTTGGAACTTCAAACCAACTCTTTCTGCTCACTGTGTACTCAATATACCCAGCGACAGTGTTGATGAAATTCTCATCGAGTACTCCGTCAGTGAACCATGCGCCACCGGTAACATCCTCGCTGGGGGCAAGGCCCGCCAACATGTACATTTTCCGACTTGGGAATTTGACATTGTGCACGCTCTTGATATAGTTCTTTCCCTCCAAAGATTTAAGGCAACGGTCTAATATAGACTTGTGTAAACCGGTTCGAGTTCCGATCGCACGGACCCAGATACCGTTGCGACCAGTAGAGTGGATCACATTATATACCAAACTTTCGTCCGGGCTTAGGTTCTGAAGTCTGAGAGTAAAATTATCATGTTAGCCTATCATGTGGGAGGTCACCCGAAAAGTCCTAGAGAACAATGGCATACTTTTCAGCATCTTCCCGTGAGATGATCTTCCAAGCCAATCGGTCATTTTTGCCCTGGAGAAGGCGAAACAATTTCTGATCAACGAGCGATTGGGTGCATCGCAACAGAAGCGCAAGGTCCGACTTGGGGACTATGCCCAGACCAAGTAGGTCCTGCTGGTAGAAGAGTTGGTCAGGAGGGTAGTTGTTCAGGCAATGTTCGTAGAGCTTAGAGGCGAGCTCAGTCACTGAGGCGCCGGAGGCCCCCGCGGATGTCATTTTCAACGAGATGAAACCGAGTCAACAGACAAGTGCAATCACCGATAAGGCTTATGAAAGGGCATATTCAGAGATGCATATTAGACCAGCGTCTATCTAAACCAAGGAGTGCCAAAGAATACCCGACTGGGTTGAAGAAGAGCCTGTGAGAGAAGAACTTGGCGAGTGCGACAGCGGCAGAAAAAGATGTTTTTGACGGCTTTTCCATTCCCTTTTTGCCCGTAGCGGGGAGCAGCTGCCTAGAACGGTCTAGCGCATCAGAGCTCCGACTCATCCAAGTCATACCTGCCTGAGGCACTCAATTCCTCTCGGAAATTTCGAGAAGCTCCGCAGATCTCATTAACTGCCGCAGCTTCCCCCGTCAGCAGTCGATCTCAACTGGAGTTGGTTTCAACCGGCACATCTTTTCCATTTCACTTCAACCCAACCGCTACTGAACCCTGACAGCATGGCTGACGCTTTAAAGGCAGAGGGCAACAAGGCCTTCTCTGCAAAGGACTATCCTACCGCTATGTATGTATTTTACCCCGCTTTACCTTATGCTGTCGTACTAATCGCTTTACAGTGACAAATTCACCCAGGCTATCGCAATCGAGCCCGAGAACCACATCCTTTACTCCAACCGTTCTGCAGTGTACTCTGCCCAATCCGAATACGAGAAAGCTCTCGAAGATGCCAACAAGGCTACCGAAATCAAGCCAGATTGGTCCAAAGGCTGGCAGCGTAAGGGAGCTGCCTATCGCGGCCTTGGAGACCTTCGTGAGTGATGGCTTGGCTTTGGTTGTTTCATCATCAAGTGTCACTAACAGACTTGTAGTGGCTGCTCACGATGCGTACGAAGAGGCCCTCAAAATCGAGCCCGGAAACGACCAGGCTAAGTCCGGTATGAATGCCGTCAAGAGGGCTATTGATGCTGAAGCTCAGGCCGACGGTGTCACTGGTGATCCTCTGGGCGGACTTGGTGGTATCTTCAACGACCCTCAGCTTTTCCAGAAGCTGGCCAGCAACCCAAAGACCTCTCCTCTCTTGGCAGATGGCGAATTCATGGCTAAGCTGCAGCGCATTAAGCAGAATCCGAATAGTGTCGGTGAAGAGATCAAGGATCCCCGCTTTTTGCAGGTCATGAGTGTTCTGTTGGGCATTGACATGAGCTTCGGTGCTCCTCCGGAAGGCGCTGCCTCTAGTGCCGCGGAACCCCAAGAAGACGTGCCAATGCCTGACGTCCGTCCCACTGCCTCTGGGGCAAAAAAGGAACCCGAACCTCAGCCTGAGCCCGAGCCTGAGGATGAGGAGGCAATCGCAAAGAAGAAGGCTCAAGAGGCGGGAGATGCCGAAAAGAAGATTGGTAACGACTTCTACAAAAAGAAGCAGTTCGATGAGGCCGTTCAGCACTACGAGAAGGCCTGGGAGCTGAACAAGGATATCACATATCTCAACAACATTGGCGCCGCTAAGTTCGAGAAGGGTGATCTTCAGGGTGCTATTGAGATTTGCCAAAAGGCCATTGAAGAAGGCCGTGAAGTTAGAGCTGACTTCAAAACCATGGCCAAGTCTTACACAAGAATCGGCACAGCATATGAGAAACTTGGCGATCTCACTCAGGCAATCGAATACTATAACAAGTCGCTCACCGAACACCGAACCCCTGACGCCCTTACAAAACTCCGCAACGCAGAAAAGGCCAAGGCTAAAGCTGAGAAGGAAGCCTATATCGACCCAGCTGAGGCTGAGAAGGCTCGCGAGCTCGGCCAAAAGAAGTTCCAGGAGGCTGACTGGCCCGGCGCTGTCGACGCCTTCACTGAGATGACGAAGCGTGCTCCCCAGGATCCCCGAGGTTTCTCCAACCGCGCCGCAGCTCTCATCAAGCTAATGGCCTTCCCTCAGGCTGTTCAGGACTGCGACGAGGCAATCAGTCGTGATGCCAAGTTCATCCGTGCTTATATGCGCAAAGCACAGGCTCTGATGGCTATGAAGGAATACAACAAGGCTTTGGATGCTTGTACTGAAGCGCAGGAAAATGATGATGGAACCCATGCCCGCGAGATCGATCAGCAACAGCAGAAGTGTTTGGAGGCTCAATTCAGCTCTCGTGCTGGCGAGACCGAACAACAGACCATGGAGAGAATCCAGAACGACCCAGACGTAAGTGGTGCCAACCATGTTTGCCAACTTTAGATTATACTAACTCTCAACAGATCATGGCTATCCTTCAGGATCCAGTCATGCAGAGCATTCTGCAGCAGGCCAAGAGCGACCCTGCTGCTCTGCAGGAACACATGAAGAATGCACAGGTCCGCCTTAAGATTCAAAAACTGATGGCTGCTGGTGTCATCCGCATGGGACGGTAAACGGAAACTCCGTGGCTGTAAGGGGATAAGTACGATGGGATGAATTGAGACGACAGTAATCTGTTTTCGACTAAAAGGAAGGCCAGCTTATGAATTGATGCATTTTCAGCTATATTTCATTATCATAATGATATATTGTCCTATCTTGATTATGTTCCACTGGAATGCCTTCTCTGCATTCATGTTGCGCCTGAGTACTAGTAGGTGCCTGAGTATTCCTTGCACTGCCGTTTTAGGCAAAATCTCCACAGCGCCCGGCGGTAAAATCTGGCAAACAAAGGAATCAGGGACAGAGAGATATAGTGAGTAGAAAAGCCTAGCTAGGGTATATAAGTCAGATATAGCCCCTAGATAATTTGGGGTGATGAACCAGCTTCTATCTCATATTCTCAATACATGTAGGACAGCAGTATATCCTGTTATGGCTTGTTGTAGGCTGCGAAACTTTTGCGTGCAGATTATTGTCCCATGCGTTTTTGCTTGCATCGTGGGTGATCGGTAACCATGGTAGTATTAGTGTTAGCTTTCGTTGGAAAGATTGAAGGAAAGGGTAAATTCGGCCCATTCTTTGACCCAATGCCATGCGAATGAAGATATGCATCTTCAGCAGATGTCCAACTTTTATTGTGGTGTGGCCTCATACCATACCAGTGCCAAATATATATATGCATTTGATATACTTTTGCTGATGAAGAGAGCCTTACCCATTGCTTTTGTCCTTGTCCCCTAATTTGTTTCTTTTTCTTTCCCATCGTGACAGTTCTTTACGAGTTTTCTTGAATGGTTTTAGGCTCATTTGGCCATGATTATCATCTATCCTTTGCCCTAATTCTACGAGTCGTCACGTTGGGAGAATTATACAGTAACAAGATAGATTTAGAGTCATTGGTCAATGCCTCCGACTTGATTCAAGGACAACCAACAGAATTTCTGGATAGGCCGATCATTAACAAGAGAATTGCAAGTGGAATTACACGTCAACCCGTGTATATTACCAGACAAGGAACTGATAGACTGCAAGGAAGTCAGAAGGTGCGCCTAATCAGAGAGGGCCAACCCTTCTTAGGGCTTGGCTGCTGACAGAACCTCTCAGCCGCACGTCCAGTGGCTGGGAAAACAAATGTGTTACGAGTCACGACCGACCCATTCGAAAGAAAGATTCTTTTTCTTTTTTCTTTTTTCTTTTCTTTTCTTTTCTTTTCTTTTCTTTTCTTTTTTTTTTTTTAA